CCCAATATTTCTGGTGTTAAAATAAGAAAAAGAAGTAAGAAAATAAGAAAAAATGCCTTTGGTGATGGGGATGACAACTATGTGTTACTGAACATATATTGAAAATACAGCCCATCGAGTGAACTAAAAAGATCTCAAGAAAGGACAAATTCAATGAAGAAATAACATTATGGATCCCTAAACCTGTAGGTACCTCTGCCTCTTCCCTTTAATTAATGTAATAAATAATTTATTGAGCACTTAATATGAACAAGGCATCATGCTAGTAGTGGGGAAGAGATTAATAAAACATAAGCTCCTTCTCTCAAGAAAATCATAATTTACCAGGAAAGAGAGGCACTTACTAAATAACAGCAATACAAGGTTGAAATAAATGCAGTCAATCATCACAATTCACGGATTCTGTATTTGCCAATTTGCCTACTTGCTAAAATTTATCTGTTGCCCTGAAATCAATATGCCTGGTGCTTTTTAAGTCGCTCAAAAGTCAGGACACATACACTGAAGTGGTAATTTTTGAGTCTCTTGACATGTACCTTCCCAGCTGAGCTGAAACAAGGTGATGCTCTGCCTTCTTCTTTCAGCTGTGAGACTGTAAACAAGCATCCTTTCCCCAGCCTATCTACTGCCAAGTTTTTTTGCTTATTTTTGTGCTTTTGGTTGGTGAGTTCACTGTTTAAAATGGCCCCCTGATGCTGAGGTGCTCTCTAGTGCTCCTAAGCAGTGTGCCTTACGGAGAAATATGTTTTAGATAAGCTTCCTTCAGGCATAAGTTATAATGCTGTTGGCCATCAGTTCAATGTGAATGAATCAATAATATATATGCAATAAGATGTCTTGGGGTGCCTGGGTGGCTCAGTCGGTTAAGCGCCTGCCTTTGGCTCAGGTCATGATCTTAGGATCCTGGGATCCAACCCCATGTCGGGCTCCCTGCTCAGCGGGGAGCCTGCTTCCCCCTCTCCTGCTCCCCCTGCTTGTGCTCTCTCTCTTGCTCTCTCTCTCAAATAAATAAATAAAATCTTTAAAAAAAGACGTCTTTGAACAGGAACATGATAAAACAAGTTTATGTACTGATAGGTTGATGAAAATCTTATGACCAGAGGCTTGCAGGAACCTGACCCCAGATATCCCCTAGGAGCAAAGGTTCAATATTTGCTAATTGAGTGTTCATGAAGAATCTATAGAACAGCAATACTGCAAATAATGAAAATCAATTGTATTTCTTGAATGAATGAGTGAGTGAGTGAGTCACAAGAGGGATAGCTGAAATGCTCTGAATGTTCAGAGACAACTTCCGGTTGAAGGAAAGGGGAGGAATTCATTGGAAGAGGACACATGGGAGCTGAGTCTTGCAGAGTCGATCAGGTGTGGATAAACAAAATTGGTTATACACGCCAGCAGGGTGGAACGGCATGAGCAAAATCATCGATGTGGAAAACCTTGGTGCTTGTCCTGCTTAAGAGCACAAGTCCCAAGATCTTTGAATAGCAGTTCTGTGACTTATGGGATGCATGATGTGACCTCAGGGAAGTTACTCAGTTTCCAGCGAAGTGGGTTAAGAATAGCATCTATCTCATAGGCTGCTGTGGGCATTAAAATCTGTTGTCTTCATTGAGAGCCTCCACCAAGAGCCTCATGGTTGTTAAATATTTAAGACCTATCAGCTATCGCTGTTGTGACTATTTATATTCCTGGGACAGTGGCTATTTCCATTTGGCTCAATCATAAGGCATATGAGGCAAAACTGTGGGAAGCAACACTGGAAATACATGTTCACATCGGGTCCCAAGGACCTTGGATTCTAGATGAAAAGAAACTGCGTTTTCACACCATAGCACTAGGGAGCAAGACTACATTTTTCAACAGGGAACAGCTATGACAGGTTGTGCTCCAGCGTGACCTGGCAGTGGGAGGGGGAATGGATGGGAGGGGGGATGGATGGGCAGGGGCACGGTTGGAGCCTGGGATACCAATGAGGAGATGGATCAGAGGGGAGGTGAGGGTTCCAGGAGGAAATGGAGAAGAGAGAGTTCATGAGATCCGCAAGGAGTCAACTCCTAAGAGTCCAACTTTAGGTACAGGGCGCTGGTAGTGTTTTTGCTGGTTCGGTGGAAGCATTTAGGTTATGGAAATCAGGGAGCCATGAACTTATCCGTATGCATATTAACTGATGAATTCATTAACAAGTGATTTAAAGGTTTTAGGCAAGCAGAATGGTTGGAGGATGGATCCATTTGGATAAACAAGATGGAAAAGGAGCAGAGTTGGGTGGGGACGATGCTGAGTTTTGTTTTCGGTCCGTAGAGTTTGAGAAGCTTCATAAACAGGGGTGATTTTGATGGAAAACTGATAGCCTCGTGCTACCACGACACGCCATCTAAAATCTTCAATCTCAGAATCAAGAGTCTGGAAGCAGGGCTATAATCCTCATGGTTCTTAAGTGAAGCACCAAAAAAAGGGAAGGAGGGAGGGAGGGAAGGAGGGACCAAGAAAGGGAGGGAGAGAGGACTGGCCTTAGGTAGTGAAATTTAGGGTATTTATGAACAAATTGGCTGACATTTTTGTCTTCTCATAGACAACAGCAGGTGCTCGGATGCAGGCTTCTGTGCTGTACATAAATCTGATTGCCAGTCTTTCCTACAGAACACAAACGTACCACAGCCTGACTAAAATTCTAATAGAACACTCAAAAGTTTTGCAAGCATCTTAGCTTTGCCTGAAACACCAATTGTCCAGTGGGGAATAAATAGATGCCCACAACGAAGGTTTTAAATGTCCTCATTCTTCCTCCGTTAATCCAATTCATTCCCCTCTGAGAAATAGCCTGGGGTAGAGATGGGGGGTAAAACCAAAAAGGTGAAATCCTTTTTCTCATATAAAAACAAGCCTCTTTCCTACTTTCAAGTGCAAAAGTGAGTAATCCAAGATGGCAGCTGTAACTGGCGCCCTAGTCTTAGTTAACCCGTGTGTGCTCATTAAAGAGCAGGGGGTACACAGGGCATTTATTTCAATAAAAACAATTAAGTATATACGTTTTGTCTGCTCAGCGTTAATGATTCCCTGTTGACAGAGCTGCACGAGGGGTACTTCTTGGGTTTCAAAGCAAGATTATTGAACAGAAATGACTGTCAAGTCTTATAATTTGGGTAACTGCCAAACAGACCATGGATAAAAGCAGAAAAAGAAAAGGAAAACAAGAAACTGATCCCTGAAGCACTTTTTTTTTTTTCCTATTGGAAAAATTACCTCTGAGGCCCCAACACTTATCTGTTCTGGCCATGCAACCTCCAAAATGGAACACCCGCCATCATACCCACGGCAGGACCACACGACCTTCTCCTAAGCCTGGGAAACCACTTCTAAACCACCTCTCGGGTATCACATCCAATGGGAAGAATTAGGGGAAGGGCTTAAAGTACAAGAAAAACCATCAAGGGCTCTGTATCTGCCACTGTTCTCTCTAGAGTTGAAGGAGAGAATGCTTCCGCCTAACTTCTCACCAGAGAAGTTGGGCATCTGCATTTCATTTTGATACTCCCACTCAATAAAAGATAACGTTTGGGCGCCTGGGTGGCTCAGTTGATTAAGCGACTGCCTTCAGCTCAGGTCATGATCCCAGGGTCCTGGGATCGAGCCCCGCATCGGGCTCCCTGCTCTGCGGGGAGCTTGCTTCTCCCTCTCCCACTCCCCCTGCTTGTGTTCCCTCTCTCGCTGTGTCTCTCTCTGTCAAATAAATAAATAAAATCTTTAAAAAAAATAAATAAATAAAAATAAATAAAAGATAACGTTTGCCCTAAAGTTGAAAAATATTTAAAATACAGTATATTCTCAATGAGCCAGAACATACCCCAATCAAAAGTATGTTTTACGAAACCTGATTTCAAAAAAAAAGTAAGCGATGAAGAAGGAGAAAGTGTCTGGGACGTCATTGAACATACAACTTCCAGAGGGTATCTTGGGGCCAAGAGATAGAAATCAGCCCTCAAAAGGACAGTGGAGGACTTGTTAGCCCATCCGAACACCAGTACCCTGGGCGATGCAGAAGGAGGAGGACTAAAACATTTTTTAGACGGTTGCAATAAGACAGGATCTAAGGAAACCAGGAAATTCACTTCAGGCCCGTAACCCATTCCCCAAAGTTTAACTGTGCTTTTTAGCCTAAAATTGTGCCTTCTTCACAATAAAGGTAGCTCTGAATAAAAGCTAAACAAATAAGAAAAAAATGAAAATTAAGTATTCCAAATGACATATACCAGGAATCATCATTTGACTAATGGGAAGTCAAAAGTCTTCTATTTTTTATATTCACGCTCTTGTGAATGGGGCATCCCCACGACAGCACACTGGGGTCCAGTTTGTGCCTGAGGTCATACCACTGGTTGATTGCAGAGCCCTGAATGGGCATCAGGTGCCAACATGATTCACTGAATGTAATGGCCTTTGACATTCACAGATGCTTGGCCATTGACCCCAACATGTGGATCTGGTTAGGGCGAGGTTCACACTTGACATTTGGAGGCAGATAATAAATAATTATCTCTACCCTTTAGATGCTGATGTATACCCTCACCCATGTTGTGACACCCAGAAATGTATCCAGACACTGCCAAGTGTTCCCAGAGGGGGCATGGGGACAAAAATCCCTCCCCAGTGGAATGACTGAGTTTGGAGATAGAGATGTCGTCCTGCCTATCCAGATCTCATCTTCAAGCCCAGTCAACCACCTAAGGATCTGCTCCTACTGACCTAGAAAACAGTTGTAATGGCTGCACCTCACAGACCTACTTCTAACCCCCTCATAAGAATTATTGGCCTCCCACTCAGCTCTTTACTCCAGGTCTCCAGTCCCTGCACTGGGGTCTCCAATAGGCATCAGCCCAGGAACCTTAGAACCTCACCAACTACCCCCATATCTCCACCATCCTGTTCCTACTTCCACTCACAATCAAGGCAAGGGGATTTAATACCCACCATCTAGACTTGTTTCCACTTACCTTAAGGATAACATAGCAAAGGGATCTGCAAGTTGGCGGATTAAGACAGATTGTCTCATCACTTGCCTTGAACAACTGTCTTTCGATTAAGGAGTCAATGACTAAGGGTTCAGGCTTATCATGAGGATTCGGCAACCAGTAAGTGTTTATTCAACGCAAAGCAAGTCCCATGAGGACACGGCAGTCTGGGAAGTCTCCAGCGTTCTCTCATTCAGGAACCCACTGGAACAGGAGACTCATCTGACGGTTCATCATTGTGTCTTCTACACTTGGAGGAGAGTCTGAAATATCATTGACAGTCAATAAATATTTGTTGAATGAGTTAATTTACTTCTCAAAACACTAGGTAAATGAATATTAACTAAGGGCATATTGCGTGTTCTGTGCTGGTTTAAGCAGAATGAATGAATGAATGAATCCATAAATCAATCAGTGATTCCTTGATAACATGGTATCTTTCAAGTGGCAGAGACCTCCATTTTCATATTAGAAGTTGCAGTCGGCAGGATTCTGAGATGCCCCAGACATTCCTGACCCCTGGCATATACATACCTTCTCCGTTATTCAGTCACATACTAACCTAGGTGTTTCCGTGAAAGGATTTTGCAGGTGCACTTAAATCCCAAATCAACTGACCTTAAGAAAGAGAGATTATCCTTGGCGGGTCTGACCTAACTAGAGACCTTAAAGGTGACAGGCTTTTTCCTGGAAAGAGATTTGAAAGGTAAGGGGGAACTGGGTGAGGCAGAGTCTCTGCTGCTGGATTTAAAGACGAAGCCATGTGGCAAAGAATGTGGGTGGTTTCCACGAGCTGACAGCCGGCAGGGAAGCAGGGACCTCATCTCTACAGTTGCCAAGAACTGCGTTCTGCCTCAGTCACAGGAGCTTGCAAAAGGACCAGGCCTTCCGATGAGAACTACAGCCCCAGAGTCCAGGTGAGGTCAGTGCCTTCAGTGCAGACTTGTGAGACCTGAGCAGAGAGCGTGACCACACCGTGCCCAGGCTTCTGACCTGCGAACTCTGAACGAACCAGTTTCAAGCCAGCAGGTTTGCGATGCTCTAGGATATGGCAATAGAAACTGATAGAGGGTTCAAAACAACATAGTCATTCAATAAAAAGACCACAGAGTTAATTCTCGTATTAATGGGGCAAAGTTGGTGTCCCGTATGACCAAGTGTCTGAGAAATGCATTCAGCCTCACACTTAGAGATGTCCTGACTTAATTCTTCATCTGCTCCCGCCCCACGGAGGGGGCCCTGCTATCTGCCTGAAGCTTTTGTTGTGTTAATCATGGTGAGGGCCACACTGGAAAGATGGAGCTTTAAAATCCCAAGAACAAGGGGAGGGACAAAGGGGAAGAGGAATGGAGGGATGGGACAGAAGTAAGAGCCCATAATGAGCACCATGCTTGAAAGCAAACTGGGGAGGGGTCACGGGGGGCAAGAAAGAGATTCTGAGGACATTTGCCATTTGTATATGATCATAGGAGAGAAAGAGGAGAGAGGTTTTACCACGTTCAGTTACGCTGGACTGCGAATCAAAACCCGGTTTGGGCAATTGCACAATTTTTATTATTTTTATTATTTCTTAGACACCAGATTGACATTTTTAAATGTGACTTCTTGGGAGAATGGCACTTCATGCCGGCGCAAAAGTCCCAGCTTCCTTCCTACAGGTCACACTAGTATTCTCAGACTGGCCTAAGGGAAGGTGAACACAGCCTTCCCTTCCCCATTCTTGTCTTCTCCTAGCTCTTCCTAGTCCTGCCTCGAGGCCTCAGGTCTGGGAAAATTCCCTGAGGATCCATAAGCGCAAGTCTACATTTAAAAAAAAAAAAAAGGCCTGTCTCCCTCTTGAAGCTTGCTGCTTAGTACCTTACCGCACAACAGAGACTGCAGAAATGGGGGGGTTAGGGTGCTAATGCACAGACTAGAGATCTTGTTTAGTATCCCTCAGTACGCAGGACAGCACCCCAACAAAGGATATCCAGCCCCAAATGTCAATAGTGCTGAGGTGGAGAAACTCTGATTTACAACCTTTGGTGGGCAAGGATTGAAGATCAAAGACACCACGGAGAGTGATGGAAACCAAGCTCCCATAGGCAGGTTTCTATGTTTGGAATATTTGATGTTTTTGTGCAGGAAAAAAAAAAGGGCAAAGAAAAAAAGCACCATTATTTTTCAGGTTAAAAAAAATTACTGCAATGAAAGGCACATGATGATAGAGTTCTTTAGCTGCCCACAGAGTAACCGTAAGTGAAAAGAGTACAGAAAACTGCAGACCAGTTTCAGAACCCTTCCTAAAGCTGCCCCACGATGCAAGGATTCTCAATGACTCTCCTGGGCTGCTTTTCCGCGCTTCCTGGGGCTCCATGCATTTCGCTGACCTGGTTTATGTTTGCAGGATGGATACAAGGCTGTGCCGTTCTGAGAGGTAGGGTAGATGGGTTTAGGTCCCAGGATTGGGCACCCAGAGTCTTTGTAGGAGATTCTACAGGAAGAGGAGATGTCATCGGTGGGGATGACTAGACAGCAGGACTGAAGACAGCAGAGATGGGCTGGCCACCGAGGTTCCAACCAACATATGCTCTTTCTCTAAGTGGCTTCCTAGATGCATGGGACACATGGGTCAGGGAAGGGCAAGCAGAGAGCTGGGATTCAGTCTCAGGAATGCCCTTGCCTCCAGCTTCCCACCCATGACCTTGAACTGACCAGCAAGCCTCTGTGCTCTCCGGGAGCCGTGGTGTGCTACAGATGCATGGAGGCCCGAGGAGCTTGTCTGCCTGAGCTAGTGAAATCAGAGGAGGGGGGATGCTCGCATCCGCATCCGATAGACTCCAGGGGACCCACACAGAGAGGCAGAGCCGGAGCGGCTCATGGGCCGATGATGGCCAAGGTAACACAGTCGAGAGACACAATTCCCTCTTATCGTGCAATTACATGTCTTTACATTTTCTGGCTTTCCTTCTTACCTGCTTTCTCTACGAGTGCATAAATCTTCAGTTTCCATGCAACAGGATTGATGGAAGCATATAAAGAGGCGTAAAACGAATCATCGATTTCATCTTACCTTTTCCCTTTGTTGTGGCAGAAGCAACCAGCCTTTGGACAGCTTCCCCACACACTCCTTCATCCCACGTTGACTTGCCCCGGTGAGGTAGCCGCAGCTCGTCCTTTGGCGGGCCTTTGCCTTGTTCCAGAATGCTCTGCATGAAATGGCAGTGAAAGTCCAAAATCATTCTCTTCCTTTTCTTTTTTTTAAAAGTAAGCTCTATGCCCAAAGTGGGGCCCAAACTCACAACCCCAAGATCAAGAGTTGCACGCTCTACGACTAAGCCAGCCAGGCGCCCCATTCTCTTCCTTACTTAATGTTAGCTTGATGCCCATAGTTTTATAATAATCCTATGATAGAAAGAACTTTATCTTCACGGATTTTACCGTAACCATTTAGTGATGATTTTGAGCTCTCATGTGCCCCATCTCTCTCTCTTTTTTTAAATTCAGTGAAATTTAACATTTATTGAGTTTCTACTCAGGGCCAAGTTCTGTGCTGGGCTGTTGGGGGTGGGGGTTGGTTTAAAGCTGAACCAAACATCCATCAGCTCTTGAAGAGCTTTTGTTGTTTTTTTCTCTGCTGCATGCCAATGAAACCAATGGATTGTTTCATTGAACAAATTAACTGAGTACCTACTATGAGCAGAAACATAGTGAAACCCATCCGGAGGAGGAAAATAGATAAGAAATATGGGTATTGGGAAACTAAGAAACATGACATGAAATCAGGGGTAACAACAGCATGCAGAATTTATCTGCGTTTGGGGGAAGGGGGCGCCATGTTTAGCTCCAAGCTTCCAAGCAACCAATTGAAGAGAGAAACAAGATCACCCCATGTATCCCCAGTATAAAAACAAGCAGAGAAAAGAAATGAGAACACTGCTACTCTTCCAGAAAGAACGTTCTCTCTCTCTTATTCTCATAACATGGACTCTTCCATGGTGTGACGCTAATGATGTTTCTGGAAGACACACAGGGAAGCAAAGTACCTAGGAGCTCACACCAGAGGGTCCAAGGGCAGCACGTGGGTAAACAGACATGGCACGCCACGGGAGAATCTAGAGAAAGGACACCTCAAAAGACCTTGCGGAACAGGCACTGAAGGTAAGACTTCCAGAAGCAGAAAGAGCAACATTCCAAGCAGAGAGCACAGCCTAAGCAAAGACTCAAGAGTTCGAAGGAGACAGAACATCTTTTCAAACACACAAGCTGCCTGGGGTGGCTTGAGTTTAGGTCTCATAGCCGCAGGTGAAGGGAGATAAACTACAAAGGCAGGATGAAGCCAGACGGTGAAATCTCCTGAAGGCGACCTGAGGGGTTGAGACATTATTTTGTACGTTGTGTTTTGACCGGAATGGGGAGGCATGGGATGTTTATAACAACAGCCAGGAGCCTTGAGATTGATAGGTTAGAAGAAGGGGAGGTGGCAAGACCCAACCCAGGGCTAGGTAGTGACAGTGTAAAGAAGAGAAGGACAAGGGCGCCTGGGTGGCTCAGTTGGTTAAGCGACTGCCTTCAGCTCAGGTCATGATCCTGGAGTCCCGGGATCGAGTCCCATATCGGGCTCCTTGCTTAGCAGGGGGTCTGCTTCTCCCTCTGATCCTCCCCCCTCTCATGTGCGCTCTTTCTCTCAAATAAATAAATAAAATCTTTAAAAAAAAAAAAAAAAGAAGAGAAGGACATGGGACAGTGGACGGAGGAAATGAGGAGGATAGAAGAAAGAACCATGGGAAGGTGGCATTGACTGGCTTTGGCTCATGACTCCATCCTTGGCAAAGATCCTTGGCTTGGAATATAGATGCTCTGCAGAGTTTGCTAGATGAGGAACTATGTGTTGAAGACAGGGGGAAAAGATATGACAAAAAAGGCTTTGGGTTTTATAACCTGAACAGCCGGAAGGATTCCAGCAGCATTAACTAGACTAAAGAAGACGGATGAGTCTGAATTGTTTTTACAATATGCAAATGGAGGTTCCGATCTGTGGTGGCTTGAAGGGCACTGGCTGCAGAAGAGGCAGAAGGAGTGATAGAAATATTCTGCACCTTGACTGGGTTGTTAGGCACGGATGTGAACATTTGAACCCCCCCCCCGCCCAGTGGCACAAGTAAGAGCTATGTGTTTTATTGCATATTAATTATACCTCCATAAATTAAGGCTTTTTTGAATGAATTTAAAATTTCCAGCAGACAAAGGTAGAGATTTTAGTTCTGCCCTAAAGGAACCCATACAGGCAAATACATACAAAAGAATCCAACAATAGGGAGAAATATAAGGTGCGGAATATAAAGGGCAGAGCATAGTCCTGGCTGGGGTTTGGGGAAAGCTCATGGGCGGTGCTATTTGAACTGGGTTTTGAAGAATACACATACCAGAAATAAAACTGCCAAAAGGAAAGACAGGAACCGTAATTTGCTAATGACTCATTGCATGATCAAGTTGAGACACATTTATTGCAACGCATTTTAAGGCAATGCAAATGCACACGAGGGTATGCCTCCGAAAGGGACTGGTAGGCAGCGTGGAAGAACACGGGTTGGAGCTGGGCTGTTTTCAGGGTAAGCTCCGGCTATGCCCTTTATTGGTTGTGTGGCATTGGGAAGCTTTCTGCAGGTGCATATGCTGATATCCCTACTATCTGGTAGTGGTGAAGATGAGGTCAGTCAATGAATGTGAACTGTTCACAGTGTCTGTGAGTATAAACTCATGATGTGATTACATAACAAGGGCCTATGCTTAGTATTAATATGATTGTTAAATGGGGCACCTGGGTGGCTCAGTCGGTTACGCATCTGCCTTCCGCTCAGGTCATGATCTAGGGGTCCTGGGATCGAGCCCCATGTCTGGCTCCCTGCTCAGCGGGGAGTCTGCTTAACCCTCTGCCTCTCCCCCCTGGCTTGTGCTCTCTCTCTCTTTCAAAAAAAAAAAAAGAAAAAGAAAGAAAGAAAATGATTGTTAAAATAACACACCAAACAATACCCATCCAGTTGGCAAGGCTTATTTTCAAATATTTCAGGTCTGAATGTTTCAAGGTTGGTGTTTCTCAGTCTTGACTGAGGACTCTCTGCAGTGTCTAATGTTAAATCGAAAACGTGTTAAACATTTATCACGGCGATGCGTATCTAAAACAGAGAACATTCTAACCATATGTGTATGGAGGGCGTGTGGGCTGTGGAGGATTTTTCCCTCCTCGGTTACGTGGTGATCATGTGTCCCTGCTGATTGTGTGGGAGGTGGGGAATCACATCGCACATTCTAGCCCCTGGCCCCTTGCAGAGTGTTTGAGGCCAGAGAAATCACAGACAGAAGAATCTGTTGGTTTAAAAGATTTGTCTCAGAAACCATCAAGCCCCTGACTGATCTCACTAACCAACCATGAGTCCAAGATTGATCTTTCCCCAACCTGATCTCATGAATCAAGCAAATTGCCTTTCCGCCATCCCCGGAATGCTTAGCAACTCCAGCTTACAAAGAGGCATCAAGGGAGGGGAACAGTCTTCCTGCATAGAAAAGCGCTTCTAATGATCTGTGCCCAGTGCGACATACCAGAGCAATCACTGGGGGACAGAGGTAAATGGTGAGAGACCAAGTCTCGTGGGGAGTGCTTTTTTATTTTTATTTTTTTAATTTTTTTTTTAAGATTTTATTTATTTGAGAGAGAGAGAATGAGTGAGAGAGAGCGCGCACATGAGAGAGGGGAGGGTCAGAGGGAGAAGCAGACTCCCCGCTCAACAGGGAGCCCAATGCGGGACTCGATCCCGGGACTCCAGGATCATGACCCGAGCTGAAGGCAGTCGCTTAACCAACTGAGCCACCCAGGCGTCCCGGGGAGTGCTTTTTTAGATGACGGTATATTTAGAATAGTCTCCCTCCCCAGCTGCCAGAATCCTTGCCAAGGCTGTCGGGTCTGCACTTTTATTGCGGGCAGGCATTGGTTTACTCACTTAAAAATTATAAAAAGCCAATGGGGTTTTCTTATCTTTCTCTTGGTTGTGTCGGGGAAGCTGGTGTCTTCTCATTTCCGCATCGTCTCTCATTGATTGTAGTGACAAGAACCGTCTTTAAGTGGAAATTGTGAACATGCCCAAGAGCTAATGAGGGACAGATTGACTTCAGTGAAGTGAGGGACAAACTACAATGGAAGACGGAACCTGGACATCTTGTTTGAAGGCAACATGAATGGCACCATGACGTATTTCTGAGTCTCGGACGGAAGCTCTGCAGAGAGGGAAGGCGACTGTCAGAAGTGAGCTGTTTGCCACACCCCTCGTAGCTTGGGAGGCCATCTGTAGGGACACGTTTTCTAGAAGTCATAACGTCCCCTGGAGACACTCGTGAAGGGTGGCCATGCTTCTGTAACTAACCTTGGTTTTTCCACCTTCAGTATCTTATGCCATGGATAATCTTTCAGAATTCCTTATCTATTTCAGATCTACCATGCACTAACTACCCAGCACCCAGCATGTGGTCCAGGGACCTGAGTCCTCATCCTAGCTCATGTGCCAATTAAGACAACACCAAGTAAGAGATCAGAATGCTGGAGTTCCAAGTTCTGCTTGGCTGTGGAGTGTTGGGTGGCATCTCAAGTCCTTAGGAAAGGCTGTATGTTAGTTATCTATTGCTGTATAATAAATCCTTCCAAAATTTAGTGACTTAAGCCAACCATAATCATTCATTACATGTCCAAGTTTCTTCCAGTGCAGAATCCAGACAGGACACAGAACGGATGGCTTGTCCTTGGTTCACAATATCTGGGCTTCTGCTGGAAAACTTAAAAGAAGCATCTGAAGAGCAGAGGCTGTAGGGCCCACCTCCAAGGTGGCTCACTCAACATGACAGGCATGTTGGTGCCGGCTGTCGGCAGGAGGCTCCCGATCCTCTCCACGAGGACTTCTGTACAGGACTGCTTGAGCATCCTCACAACGGGGTCCCAGTTCCCCCAGAGTGGGTGGGCCACGACTCCAAAGAGAAAACCAGAATGATTATTATGACCTAGCCTCCGAAGGCACACACCACCACTTTCTCAGTATTCTACTGGTCACAAAGATCAGCCAAATTCAAGCTGGAGGAGGTGAGGCAGAGGCGTGGACACCGGGAGGTGAGGACCATCGGGGGCTGCTTGAAGACTTGCTACCACAGGCAGCATAAGACGGCT